AAAGCTACTTTGAAAGCCTGCAAGGTAGTAGTGAATGTGATAGCAGCAAGGAAATCTCATTGCTAGTATTACACTGGCTGAATCATAGCCATCTCAACTAATTCACAGTGATTCAGACTTTGATGAGTTCTAAAACATGAATCATAGATGGATAGGATTTTGGTATTTAGAAGAGATTGGATTTATACCCTGCCCTTCACTCGGAGTCTCAGAGTGGCTTACAAACTCCTTCCCCTTCTCCTCCCCTCCCCACAACAGACGCCCTGTGAGGTAGGTGGGGCTGAGAGAGCTCTCTCTCGAGGACTGCCCTGGAGAGAACAGCCCTGAGAAAACTTGTGACTGGCCCAAGGTCACACCAGCAGCTGCAAGTGGGGGATCAAGCCCCGTTCTCCCAGATTAGAGTCCGCGCACTTAACCATTACACCAAACTGGCTATCTAGCTGTGATGTTTTTAGATGGCCCTTTGCTGATCAGATCTCTCAGATCTGAAGTGACCTGGATGCTGACTTATTGATGGGTTTTGTGGTGGGGGAGACTGCTGCCCTCTCTGGTCCCTTTCGTATTAATCCTTTCAGTCTTCTCCCTGAGGGTTGTCAATTGAGCTCTGTGTGAACTGCTACCTGCAGTTCAAAGCCTTGTGCAGAATGACTTATGAAATCTTGCAAGACGTCACTGCATGTAGTATGGGGAACTATGAGCCCCTCAATAGCCCTGGGAATTTTCCCTGAAGTGCTTAAGAAAGCAGTAATAAGACATGTATTGACAAAGTTTGCATTGGGTGCTCATGTGTTGGGCAGCAACTAGGCCATTCTGTAATTCGCCCTTTTGAGCCAAGATTATGGAATGGACTGTGACTGAGTGGTTACATAACTGGATAAAGGTATTTACCCCTGACTTGTTTGAATCTGGTTTCAGGCCTGGCTTTGGCATAGAGACTGCTTTGATGAACAATCTTCATTTGCCGCTAACATAGGGGAAATGCCTCCCTGCTGGAATTCCTGGACATATTGACCATTTCGATATGGATGGTCACTGACTCCTGATGGAGCTCTCTTTGTGATTTGTTGCTTCTTCTCAAGAAGCAACAACCACCACAGGATACAGTAAAGTTAAGCCATACTAGTGTGTGTGTGTGTGTGTGTGTGTGTGTGTGTGTGTGTGTGTGTGTGTGTGTGTGTGAGAGAGAGAGAGAGAGAGAGAGAGAGAGAGAGAGAGCGCACAAACCACTTTTCCTTGTTTTGTTAAAATGGTGGATGGCGGCTTCTCAACTCCAGATTCTCTTTCCCCCACAGACAACTACCCTGTCCTTAGCAGCATTTGAGCAGTGGCTGCACTCCCAGGCACTTTTCATGCGTAGAAGTAGCTGTTGCAGTGGCACTCATCACTTAGCTTCCTTGAGCACGCCAATGTCACTGAGGGAAAACAAAGATCAAGGTGAGCAGGGGCTATTCCCTTCCTCTGCACGAGTTGGCCACGCCCACTACAGCCAAAACCTCTGTGTGCGTGGCTACGGAGGGAAGGCCTGGAGAGCGACCCCCGGCGATTCCGAGGTGGGCAGGCCAGGGCCCCCCTGGAAGGATCGGGGAGGCATTTCAATGGAGGGGGGGGATTTCCCAGGCTCCCTGCAGCCACGGGGCACCCAGGCAAGCCAAGGGAAGGCACGGGGTGTGGCCTAATATGCTAATGAGCTGCACTGTCAGGGATGTGGCCTAATATGCCTATGAGTTTCTGCTGTTGGGTGTGGCCTATTATGCTAATGAGTTGCTGCTGGGCTTTTTCTACAAAAAAAGCCCTGACGAGCACCATCTGACACCAGCGACTTGGGCACAAAGCTGGATCATATTAGGAACATTACGGGCATGTTCAGACGGGCCATTTGAGCCGGTATACGTGCCGGATACAAACAGACTATTTACACGCGATCACACAGCCAACATCTACCTCCCGTCCCTAGCCGTTGCCAACCGGCTCAAAACTGCTTTAACCTGGAGTATTTTGCTACCAGGTCCCCAAGTGGTGTTTTCCTGCTGCTCCGGTTCCAGCCGCATTTTCCCCGTGTGATCGGTCCTCCGCCGGTGTACAGCCACTTCCTGTTCCCCGCTCGAAAGCTGCCCGAGGCTTCTGCTTTTCGCCCATTTTTTTTTCCGCGGTGGCAATATGCGCTTGGGCGGAGCTTCACCCTGGCGCGCTTGGGCGGAGCTTCGCCCTGGCGTTAAACGGTGCCTAGTTTTAGCCTTTAGTCGAGTCCGGGACCTCACGGAGGCCAGTTTCAGTTTAAAAGTTTAAAGGGAGGTGTTGGCTTCAGGGCATGCTTTGGCAGGATACGTTGTTCTGTGCATGCGCAAACTGTGAATTTTTTTAAAAAACGCAAATGCGCGCTGCTGCGCACCTGTAGTGTGGACGCCCAGGAGCAATGTGCTGCACGTTGAGAGAGGTACGTGTGACTGCGCTCATCCCAGATAAAATATAGTCTGGCCAGAACCGGAGCAGTTTAAACCGCTTCGGCAAGCTGTCTGACCGCACCCGCTGAATTCGTTGTTCCCAAAAAAAGAACAGTCAGATGTGAGTGCATACAGTGCCAACACAGCAGTTTGAAGCTGAAGTACTTATGGGAGGGGGGATGTCCAACCCTCTTTTATTCCAGAAGTATTAGTAATAGAACATTTCATCTCAGATACAGTTTGTTTGCAAGGAAAGCATTTTGCGCCACTTGCATGTTATAAAAACTTTTTATTGCTGCAGTTAATAACTTCTGTGTTTAACACAAATGACAAGTACAGTTTAAAAAACTGCTCCTACTGCCCAGCAACAGTGAGTAATACTGTGACAATGAGAAGCTCTCAGCAAAGGACGCTAAAACTGCAAAGTTACTAGAATTTTTACACAGGACAAAAATTCTGGACTGTAAAATGCCTTGTAGAAAGTGTTAACTATATGCCAGTGTAAAGCAATATACAATAATTTAGCTACAAAACATTTTTTAAAGTACAATGTTCATTGCAAATATTTGTTATTATCCTATAAACACAAGCTATGTTTCAGCACTTCACTGGATTATCCAGCGGCTGTCAAATGTCAAAGTTTAAAAAGGTCTCACTGAAAATATCTGCATATTTAGCAGCAACGGTTTTGCAAGTATTCACACCTGGGTCCCTGAAATAAGTAGTGAATCAGAAGTAGTGGGTTTGTAAACCAGAGATTTCGCCAGTGTTCAAGTAAACTCCATGTTGATAAGTGGATCCCAAAGCCCAGATCTTCAGATCCAGCTTGTGTGCAAGAGTAAGGACACCTATAAAACAGGCAATGGAAACTGAGCACCAAGACCAGAGGGGGGGGCACATGAGGGTGCCATGACAGCGCAAGCCCCAGGAACTGATGCTCTGCCACAAGAGTCCTGTTACTGCAGCGTGGTGATGAACAGAATGGCACTCGTGGTTTTATGTGGCAGCCCAAGCCTTTTTTCTAGTGGCAAACCTTGCCGTTCGGTCCTTACTCTTGAAAGCAAACGTACAAGAACTGGACGCTGCATATCAACTCAAAATGATGGGAACAAAAAGAATTGCAACAGTAGGCATTCCTCTGATCTTACATATTCCCAGATACCTCAGAAAGAGTGTAATGTAACCCATCTGGCTTTTTTGTTCACTGTACACCTTCACTGCAGTGCAGCAACTAGCACGGGTTCCAGAATCCTCTCAATAATGTAAAGGTGAATAGTCAGCTGGTTCTTGCTGGTTAATGTTCTGCCCGTGCTTATATAGGCTTATGAGACTTTTTTGATATTTTATCCAACCTGAGTACATTGTCTCATTTTATCTGACGGGGAAAAAAAGGTTATTTGGACTCCAGCGTGACAGAAGGGAACAAGTCCATGTAATTGCACTTTGGGATGCACAAGACCTAGGCTAGTCCAAGAGAAAAAGGCAGATTTGTGGAAGGAATCGTTAGCCTGCACATCCTGCGAAAGGATGAGGTATCATGGCAACCCCAGAAACAAAATGGAACGACTCAACAGATTATCATACTTCCAAAGCTGGTGAAACTACCATCCTAGTACCAGGCCACTGGAGGCCCCAGGCCCACGCATACATACATACAAAGAACCAATTCTCTACGATGTCTGCACTACCTCTTTTGTGTGCCTGTTTCAAGATCAATCCACTCATTTTTTAAATGTTTAAAATCTGCTGTAACAGATGATCATGAGGCTTTTCACAATTCAGTTTTGAGGGTCTATTACAGCATTTAATTTTGTATTTTTTTGGAAGAACTTTTGATTTGCAGCAATAATTTGGAATATCAAAGCAAGTTTTTTAAAAAGGGTTTTCATTCAGAGTTTAATGGGCCCAAATGAATCAAACTATTTTTTCAGACATGATAAAGGATCCTAATTTTTGACAGTATTTTGTATGATTATACTGATATTTCTTTCTTTACTTTTATATTTTGTATGTTTATGCCTGTGTTTTTCAACTTAAACTAAGATTTATAAATGATTGTAAAGGACCCTAGAGGACATCTAATGGCTTTTATTGTCCATTTAGGCAGCTCGTTCGATTTACCTGTCAAAAATCTGAACTTTTGGTCCTAAACAGGTTAGTAGCTTCACTCCCCCATACAAAAAAATTAAAATCAATGGTACGTGCTTGTAAAACTTTGTCTTGAAATTCCCAGATGGAATTGACAGATGACACAGACACGGTATTACAACTCAAGTGGTCTGCTCTGGTATGTACAGGGGAAAATGTATATTAAGGATATATGTTGCGCTTTCAAATGAACCTTAACTCTTAAAACAAGCCAATCAGAACACTGAGACTATTTTACATATTGAAACACTTCATCTGCTTATGGTTACATCCATTACTGTCTGTGTTTCAAAAGATGAGAGTCTTTGAAAAATCTGTTCCTAAAAAAAATAATAATCCAAGATAGCATTAGTGCTAGGCTTAAAATGTTTGTGAACATAATACAGACTATGTAATTTAAAAAATGGCAGCTAGTTAGGGTTTATGTTAGCAGTGAAAATTCAAATGAATATGTTTATAAAAGAAAAATGAATTGAAAGCGCTCTATGCTTTGCAATTCACTTTTAAAACTAATGTTTGTTGCAATACTAGGAATAGGCTGGATTTAAAGCTGGAATATAAGAAAGCTCTCTTGCCGTGTGAGAGATCTGTGACTGGATTTTCTAATGTGTCGTGTAGCCTTACAAAGGAGCTGTCTATGCAGGGATTTGGATCAAGGAAGCTGGTGGTAATTCTACCACCAGCACCACCACTCTTCCCTGATCTAAGTCCCTCCTCCTCATGGCTGCTTTTAAAGGCCTAGCTACGTATTGTGAGATTCACTAACAGATCAAGTCTGGTCCTGAGCTGTATAACCTCAGAACTGAAAGGACCTGCTCCTGCCATGCTAGTTTTCTAGGTGCAGGGAGCTTGTGTGTGCATGTGTGTGTATGCATACACACAACGTACAGGCATGCAACTTGAAATGGTACAGCCCAGCAAAGGAGACCTTGTATGAAATGGCTGGATGGGTGCTTTAGCTCTGGGATGCTTCCCACAGTGGACTGAAGCAATTCTTTCATTAAACGTTTCATGCCCCTGCATGCAGTCTGGAATATTTCTGAGAAAGTCCAAAACCTGCCAGTTGTTTAGCTGGAGAGACAATGACAATCGAGTCTCGCATTCATCCCTTACCATGAATCCTCTGATTTCTTATTATTGCAGGCCAACTTGCAGTCATGACAGACTTGATATGTTTCAGGAGTACAGAGGGGGAGGAAAAAAGTTCACCTTTAGACCTTTGCTGAGCAGAGCAGATGGTGCTTGCCCAGATCTTCAAGTATAACGATCAGACATGGAAAATATCTGTTCTGTAGTCTTCACGCTCTGTGTAATGTGAACCATTCGTCTCTGCATGGAGACTTCCGAGTACATCTTTGTTCTCAGTGTTTGGCTCAGCTGCTCCAGATTTTTCAAATGTGCTCTTTTTGCTAGTTTCTGGACAGTTCTGTACATATATTACACGGTTATAAGCCTTAAGTCTTTTCCACAGCTGTACGTAGACTTTGCACTGAAAATACATGAACAGAAGTCCTCCAGTAAAACCAATAGCCACCACCACCAGTTTAGTCCAAAATGGCCACTCAAGAATGCCTGGAGAAAAGAAAAGGGGAAAGAAAGTTTACAGGTTGGCATACTCTGCGTCTGTTAAGTACAGGAGCAACAAGACAAAAATCCTCAGATCCAAGACACTCTGAACTGTGAGGTGCTTTAGATTAAGGTCTGCAAACATTACATAAGCATTTAAAAGGATTGCCCTAAAACAGTTGTGCCAAACAAACATGAATCCTGTGAATTGTACATAAATAATGCCAACTGAGCAAAATTACACATTTTGCATGAAGTAATTCAAGTTTCTGCAATCTGTGGGGAGCAAGAAAATATGCAAAGCACCGAAGACTTGCTTCCTTCAGGCCTGTGCCATTTCACTAAGCATTGCCCTTAGACTTCCAAGATCATTTTATTTTGGCCAAGCAAAATGAAATCTTTAGTTTAACTTGCTGGGTACTACAAGGTACATACACATGAAGCTGCCTTATATTGCATCAGACCATTGGTCTATCAAGGTCAATAAGGTCTCCTCTGTCTGCCATTGGTTCTCCAGGGTTTCAGCTGCAGGTCTACTAACTCAATGTTCCTTAACCTGCAGGTCCTCCGGACCCAAAAGTGGCTTTGCAAAGCCTGTGAAAGTGGATCACAGGGTCTTGCAGTTTTAATGATTTGTGAATGCTTCTTCCCCCCACGTGGGTCCCCATACCAAGCAAATCTGAACTTGTAGGTCTCCATACCAAAAAGGCTGGGGACGACTATGATGACTGATCCTTTCAACAGGAGTTTCTATCAGGGATTAAACCTGTGACCTTCTATACGCAAAACAAATGCTTTGCACTGAGCCACAGTCTCTCCCCTATCTCCACTGACACAGTAAAAAGAAAGTCTACAAGTTCAAGTCTCAGCTAATTCCCTACACCCACTTTTAATATGAGATACCACAACGAAACTTGGTTAAGCGGATGTCAAGAGGTTCAAGTCTGAACCTTGTGGGCCCACAAGGCAATTGTACACAAGTAACCAAGACTGGTGTTTACTTTTTAAAAGAAGTTTTATATAGTTGATCAATATAAGAGATTATTTTATAGCCAACACGTACTCTAAAATCATGCGGCAGGAAAATAAGAAAACTAGCTCAACTGTCTAACACACTTTTAAAACTGCCGTTAGATGGCACAAACCTTAATTTGTGCCATCTAGCAATTGCAATGAAAGCAGGTCATAGTTCAGGCCTTTAGTTCATCAGAATCTCAGCTAGTCTCTCTTCATCAGGGACTTAACTTATAGTTTTTGGCCCAGCAACACCAGATGAGGATGACATCCAATCAGAACATGATCTCAGAAGAAGCCTCTGGAAAATTACCTCATCACCTCAATTCTTCCCCTCCCCTCATGCAGACTGCAGGTTCTCATGAGAAGCTAACTGCCCTGGCCTTGAAGATGGTAAGAACTGTGTAGACCAGGGTTGGCCAAACTGTGGCTTGGGAACCGCGGCTCTTTCACACACATTGTGTGGCTGCCTTCCCCAGCCAGTGTTCTCCTCCCTGGGTAGGCTTGAGGTGGTGGGGGGGAGCAAAGAAAGAAAGCAACTTTAATTTTAAACGTGTTCTCAAAGCCCCCCCCCCCCCGCCCTGGAGCAGGCATTGTTTTTTTTAAT